AAAACCTTATAGAAGTAGCTAAGCTAAGTTGCAATTTCAGGAAGATGATTAGAGAATGGGGGAGGGCGAGTGCAATACAATAGAAGCTATACAACTATCAACATAGAAGAATGGAAAACTCTAGCTCAGATCTGTTGTCATCATATGCTTCTTTCTATGGGCCACTGCATGAGTTGGAGTCGTGTTGGTTCCATACTGCTGAAACATAATTAAATGTGTTACAGAATGGGTTTCTGAGTTAGGTTGGGCAGTTCAGTGCTGCAGGGACTTAGCTGTGAGACATGATTGGGCAGAGTCATGGTGACTGTGCCCAATCATGGCTCTATATTTGTACTGATCAGGTGCAAGACTGTAGCCAATAACCGTTTCGGATGGCGCAGTGCGTTGTGGGATGTTCCGCGGTCGAACAGACCGCGGACATCCCGTAATGTTTGGCGTTTGGCGAACGCTAGAACAGGCTATGTCTTGATAACAAGTTCAAACAGGTGCCATTGATACAGGTAATGAGTGCAGGACAGAGGAGCCTCTTAAAGAAGAAGGTACAGGTCTGTGAGAGACAGAACTCTTGCTTGTTTGTAGGTGACCAAATACTTATTTTCCACCATAATTTGCAAATAAATTTGTTCCAAATCAGCCAATGTGATTTGTCTGGATCTGTTTTCTCATTTTGTCTCTCATAGTTGAGGTCTACCTATGATGCCAATTACAGGCCTCTCATGTTTTTAAGTGGGAGAACTTGCACAATTGGTGGCTGACTAAATACTTGTTTGCTCCACTGTATGTACTTACACAAGAGTCATGGTCATTGAGCAGATTAGGAAGAGCTATGACCTGTAATACTGCATACAGAGAAGTGTATTAGTCTCCTAGTTTAAGCTCACAGAGAGGGAATACATATAGGATTGCAGGAAGTCTATGATCTGTATTACATCATACAGGTAACTATACAAGTCTCTTGGTTTTGGCTCACAGAGAGGGAATGGATAAAGGATCTCAGAAAGTCTATGACCTGTAGTACTTCATACAGTTCTATAATAAGTTTGGTGGCACTTGCGGTTAGGAGAATCCTCAGTGGAGGGGTGTAGGTTTGTTGAGGGAACGTTAGTATCTGCAGGGACTGCAGGAAGGGAAATTCCCTGTATCCAAGGGAAATGCACTCAGGAGACAGCAGCAGTATTGCAGAGTGCATACTGGAGTCAGCACCTAACTTGGAAAATGTGAGTGTCAGCATTGATGAATTATGAAGAGTGCACACAGCAGCAGATGAAATAGGGGTTAAATGTAACAGTGGAAACAAATGCAAGATTAATTACCACAGCGGAACTATGCTGAGAGAAGAGGCACGATTCATCCAAGAAGATTCAGGCCTCATTCACACCAGATGTAGTGGGTTCCGGCCCGATTCTGGCCAGAATGCAGTGCATTGCATTGCTGCCGGCTCACTATGTTGTGGGGCTGGAGTGCGATCGGCTGCATGGGATCACAAGGCACATTATGTCTTGGGTCCGGTCCGAAGAAAATGCTGCAAGCACTATTTTGATCGGACTGGACCCGACCGCAAGCATAATGTGCCTTGCGTTCCCGCGCGGCCGATCACATTGCAGCCGGAGCCCGTGACTAGGGTGCCATTCACTTCAATGGACCGCCGTGCCCCCTCCTGTCCCACAACATAGTGAGCCAGCCACAATGTGACACATTGCATTCTGGCCAGAATATACACATTACACAGATGCTGGTTGTTTGAATTTCCCAGCTTAAGAAGGAAAGAGAGTAGATGATATAGTGGGGACATGATTGGTCAGGGCGGGGCTGCACACTGATGTCAGAGGAGACTAGGTGAGTATATTACGCACAGCAACAAAAACACTTCCCCTTTTCCCTCTCTAAGCTTAACTAATTCCTTACCTACTGTACTTTGTTTATTCAAATAAAAATATAAAATTTCTGTATCTGCCCTCTCTGTGTTCTATCTGTGAGTGCTTGACAAGAAATCAGGTATTACCTAGGTAAGTTTGGGAATATAAAACATTTGCAAAAAAACCTTTTCTTTAAACCCACAGAAAAATATATTACGCAGCAGTTTAAAATCTGCAGTAAATGTATCTGATGTTTTAAGCCACCACCAACATTAACTGTTGCATGCAGTTCTAGAATAAATATGTAAATATGTATACATTGTATTATCACATGATTATCAGTTAAGATGTATTTATTTGTACTCTCCTATTACGAATACTAGACGTTTGTGAAAATGTTTATGCCAAGGAACTGTTTAGTCTAGATATGACAGATAGGCATAAAAGAATACATTTAAATTTCAGTTGCTTTAATTACACAATGGTCCTTTTATTTTTTTTTATTTTTTCTCCACTTTAACAGTTCTACTCTGTGTTTTGCTGAGGCACAAATTTAAACAAAATTTAAGGGGTTTTCCCATATATCATGGAAGACATATTCTTGGACATTCTCCTGATTCAGATACATCCATTAAAAAAAGAGAAAAGAAAGCCAAAAGGGCCTTAATCATCATTGTTCTTGGTGAAGTGTGTCCTGGAGTAAGGTTGTTTTCAACTACCATACATCTTCTTTAGGGTAACTGTTTAATATCCACTAATTATATGAAAATGTGATTTAAACTAATGTTTGAAGCTGACTACTAATGCAATCTTAGGAGTATATTTACAAAAGTATGAATTTCCAAAATAACCAGTAGCATTTCCTTATGTATAAAAGTTATTTGAAGTAAGGTAATTGGTTCATGGGATGTGTAAAAGAAAACTTTTATGTATGTTTCCATTTTTTGGTAATTGTCATACTGGAATCAAAATATAACATATGAAGTGCAATGTAATAAAAACAGTGGTGAAAATCTGGGGAAATCATAATAGGTTATTGTGTATACATGCTAAAGCTATGACTACATGTTGGATGTGTTCAGAGAGAAAAAGAACTTTGCTGCCTGGACCGTTTTTCCACAGGGAAGGTGATCCCCCATTCGAGCTATACCCCCACACTTGGCACTTTAGGAATGTGGATTAAGTCACTTATCTGACTAAAGTCGATTGATCCTGATAGATATTTTGCAATGTATTTATTTCAATGCTTTAAAAACACATTATTGGCACATAAATAGTTCCAAGTATAGCTTTATTAAAGAATATCTAAAAAATGTTGGCCTTATGAAACCAATAGACCTAAAACAATGCTTGTCAAACTTGTGAAAGGTTTTACATGACACATACAGAAACAGAAACCCATTCTTTATAGTAGCTCTAAGTAATATTAAAATACATACAGATAAAGAAAAATTTCACGCACATTGTATACTGTATGCGTGTCTGATTTGATTGACTGTTCAACGAAAAGTGAACAAAAAATCCAGCTCTACAGACTGTTTTTTTCTAGGGAAGTTAATCTATGACTAAATAATCCAAATATTAAACATTTCCTAGTGCACCTGACTAACAAAAATTATAAAAGAAAAATATAAAAATGATTTTATTTTAAAGCTAGCCTATGCAATTGAATACTTACTACCAAGTGACTTGAGATTCAGTTAAGTCCTTGTCACTATAATGTTTTTGATGATATTTTAAATAAATGTTTTAACAATCTTTCTATAACTCTCCATATTATTGCATTAGTATCCCTTTGATTTCCCAACAATGATTTAGTGCGAGAACATACATTATCAAATATAAAAGGTAGTGCATTGTGTAGGTTGTTGGTGTTTGCACTACATAGTTTTTAGTAGTTGTAAAGGAGGTTGATCAGAAATTGTGTGATAATACTACAGTGGCCAATACATTTGACATTTGTGACCCAAAATTGTCCATAGGCACTGATTAAAAGCCTTTATGTGTCATCAATTTCCAGTTAACAGTAAATGATGGTCCTAGAATTATTGTTTAACTGCAGCATTTGTGGCAATACCTAATATGTGTGGTGTAATTGTCATTTAGGTTTTCTTGTGCAGCTAATGGACACATTCACAGGCTTTTTTCATTAAACTTTTTTTTTTAACTTTTTTTAATGTAACTATATTATTATCACAAGGAGCTCACATGCCCCCTGTACAATAGTAAAGGACAGATAATAGGTTATTTTTAAGAAGACATAAAGGAATCCTCAAGACATCAAGAGCTCCATTAGACCCCTTATGTTACCGCTGCACTTTTTTGAACCTAATTGAGCACAGACAGTGCTTGACCAGCTTCTAACTCAACCACAGCAGCCCAGGTTCGATGGCTCTGAACCCAGAAGTGCTCAGAGTGCTATCCAGGGGGGACCAGCGAACTTATGTTTGCTGATCTCCTGTCAATCTCCATTCTGACACCAGCCATGAATGTCCCAAACAGGTAAGCCTGAGATACATGGTGGAGGTATCAGGTGGGGGCAAGGCACCTTCACATAGATGTGGAAGTGATTTTAGAAATTTGAGGGTCCATATATATTTTTGCATTATGTCATATGCTAATGTGTATTGTGTTGGGGCAGTCCATTTGTAAGAGTCTATGATGCGTTGCCATAGGTTGGGGCATGCTGCAATGCATGTTTGTTGCCTTATGTTGGGATGCCATTCAAAATGAATGCCACCTCACCAAATGTAACAATACTACATTGTGAAGTATAAATGGGCAATTAAATAAACAAAAAGGCTATTTGAAAGGTAGCAGTAAAAATACTATTTCTATAATTTTGCTAAAAAGTATAAGGTGATGAGCATCATTATTTAGTTAGAACCTATTCTATGGTGAAACCAAGCAATTAACTAGCTATTTCAAAAGCTACTGCAGTGACAGAATGGTGTTATGTTAACGGTTAATACATATTAACATCTAGTCTTCCAGAATTATTATATTTATGTAGCAGCTGCAGAGTAATGCAAATATGTAAACAAAAAACCATTACATGCTTGTCCATCTCTTATGATTCATTATAACTGTCTTACTTGACTGTAGTTTACCTTGTACTAATTCTCTGTGTATGTATATTTACAGTGTTGTTTATCAGGATGGATTTTATGGTGCAGACATTTATGTAAGTATTTTCATGTTTTAATTTTTCATATAGAACAGGTGCTATTTTTGAGATGTCAGTAATTACTATTAATTATTTACATCTTTCTGTTATAGAAGAACATTTTGTTTTCTTTATCCATAAAAGTAAGAACCTGAACTAGACAGAAGATAACAGGTCATGTGATGGGGAAGAAACAGAAGCAGATAGAGGAAGGAGAGTGATAGGATAAATGGAGGAATACAATTTTTTTCCATTTCATTCCCATTGATAGAGCACAGTCTATTACCCTTTTAGGTGTTTAACCACTGAAAGACAAGGGGGTTAAACTCCCTTACTGTCCAGGCCATTTTTCAGTATTCAGTGCTGAGGTATTTTGACTGACATCTATTCAGTCATGCAATGGTGTACTAAAATTTATTTTATAAACATTTTTGGGGCAGATAGAGCTTTTTTTGGTTGTATTAAATAACCACTTTAAAAAAAAATTCTACTAAAGAGAATAGTACAAAAAATTGTAAATTTGAAGAAAAAACAGTTTTCCCTAAGTTATGCTATGAAACATTTATTATCCCCCATTTTTATGGTAAAATATAAAAGATGGGTTCATGTTGGGTAAATGGACACCAAACATGTGAAGCCTTAAAATTGCCAACAAATTGCCAGTCAATTGGTAGTCAATTAACAGTGATTGATGGCCCTATAATTAGTGCTCTCACTCTGATGTCCATGGTGATATGTAACATGTGTGGCACAATCGTTTTTGCATTCAGGTGCACCCAATGCGTGTTTGCTTTTGTGTGTACGTGGGGGTGGCGGACTTTAGGAAAAATGTTTTTTAAGTTTTGTTTCTTTGACTTTTTATACACTTAACTTATCACATAGGGGGCTAACCCCTATGAGATAGCACACATACAGTGACATGTCCTTCATAGAGACATCAGGGGTCTATTAGACCCCTAATGTCACCTATGGAACCCCCAAAAAGCGAATGAAGCAGCGATCTGCTTCACCAGCTTCTTCTCTGGCTGCAGCATCCAGAGAAATTACAGAGAGACGCCGGAAGTGATGTAGTACACATGATTTGTGTAAAACACATCACTTCCGGGTGGTCCAGTGATCAGAGCGAAGTTCAGCTACTGGGAGTGTGCTGATTTCCCGTCGTGCACCTAAAACCTGTGTTTTGAGTAGTTTAACAGATTTATTTTTTATTTTTGCGGGCTCTGCCCAAGCACACCTTTCCCTTTTTGCTATTTTTAAAACATATCCGAGTAACTGCCATATTTGCGTTTTATTTAGTGTAAGGAGTGAACCAGTAATTAAATTGGAATTTTATAGCGATATGTTTGCTGTCTTTATCATTTGCTTCAAAGTGCGACAGTGGTAGATTGTTCCCCAATCTATATATTTGACCTCAAGAAAATAGTAAAGACTAAACTAAATGATTTACAAAATTATATCAAATGTCATTTCATAACTTTTTGATCCTGCTAATCCTCTGTGAATATCTGTCCAATGATTTGTACTAGAACCCAGATTGTTCTTCTGGTAGTGGTACATCTCTAGTAGTGGGTAAAAAAGACGATGAAAGGTGAGGTTTACAGGAGGACAAAAAGAGTGATTTTTATTTTTACTTTTCAAAATGTTACACCAGTTTTATATTTCATTTGTTATGACAGTTGAGGCTTTTTGGCTGTCTAGATTGGCCTTGGAGGTGACACTAGTTGCTGCTTTTTTAATGTGCCTCATTTTAGACCCTTTAGGGTCTAAAATGACTGAATAATGAGAGGAGAAAGCAAGGGAAAGGATAATACTGTCTTGTGGCTCCAGTGAAGGCAGAGAATACCTTATTCTAAATTTTTAAAAAAACATAATACAGTGACCTAGTGCATTATTATTGATAACCAGAGTAATAAATAGCAAAATAAATGCACTTGCAGTCTAGCTTTTCTGGGATAGGGCTTAACTTAAATAGGAATAGTTTAAGGATTGGTTGATTCTTCAAGATATTGCATGTAGATAGGGGAGTCATTCTAAAAAGCAATTCTTTATGAGACTACTGTTGAACATAGTTTTTGGAAACTGTGACTATCCATCTAGTCAAATAGCAGAAAATTGAAATGTATCAATTAATTTGGTGTCCACATAGTGTAGGGAACTAGTCTCAAGGCAGAGGCAAACTCAGTCTATTTAACAAAATTTCCAGCTTTAATCCCAGACAGCATTAAACACAAAATACTTACAGGCAAGCTGCATTCAGCACACTGTCTCTCTCTGCACTTAGACACACACTCCCACAGCTAGGTCCAGCTGCACACTAATGAAGACCTGTGCAGTCCTCACCAAGCTCCATCAGACTCCTAATAAAACCAGCCCCAGGATGTGTATTACCAGTACAGGGTAAAGAGCTATTTTCCTTTACCTCATTACCTTAGATGATAAATCTAAGAATCTGTGGCGGAATGTATCTACCATCAATCACTCTTCCTGGCTGGTTTTACTGGCACCCTGTTACAATAGTTGCTTTCAAGTGTTTAAGTGTATGTATAGTCAATGTTTTTGTTTTGTACGGAGTACTGAATAGTTACATCGTTAGTCATGTTGAAAAAAGACACATGTCCATCGAGTTCAACATATAGATATATGAAAAAAAGAAAAGCCTAAACAGAAAGCTTTGCCCACAATTACCCACTGTTGATCTAGAGGAAGGCAAAAAAAACTATAAAGTATGGTTCAATTTGCTCCAACGGGGAAAAATTCCTTCCTGATCCCATAAGGCAATCAGATATTCCCTGGATCAGCAATCTGTGATGCTTACTATAACTATAAGAACTCAATATCCAGTAATATTCTGTGCATTTAGGAAAACATCCAGATATGTTTTTTAAAACAATTAACTGAACTATCTAGAACTAGCTCCTGGGGGAGTCTGTTCCACATTTTCACAGCTCTAACTGTGAAGAATAATTTCCGTATGCAAAGGTTAAACCTCTTTTCCTCCAGACACAGAGTGCCCCCTTGTCCTTTGCAGTGACCTTAAAGTGAATACTTTGGCACAAAGCTCACTATATGGACTGTTTATGTATTTATACATGGTGACCATGTCCCCCCTTAATCACCTCTTCTCCAGAGAAAACCAATTCACTGCAGTTAAACTTTCCTCATAGCTGAGCTCCTCCATGCCTCTTATTAGTTCAGTCGCCCTTCGCTGCACTTTTTCCAGTTCCACAACATCCTTTTTGTGAACTGGTGCCCAAAACTCAACTGCATATTCCAGATGAGGTCTTACTAATGCTTTATACAGGGGCAGGATTATGTCTCTATCTCTGGAGTCTATACTCCTTTTAATACAAGAAAGTATTTTGCTTGCTTTAGAAACTGCAGCTTGACATTGCATGCTATTATTCTGTATAAGATGTACCAAAAAACCCAGATCTTTCTCCATAATTGACTCCCCCAAACATACTCCCACTAGAGTGCATGAGGCATGCATGTTTTTAGTCCCCAAGTGCATAACTTTACATTTATCAACATTAAACCTCATTTGCCAAATAGATGCCCAATCACACGGTGCATTCAGATCTGCTTGTAAGTAGTGGGCTCATCCTGTAAGGACTGTATTCCACTACATAACTTGGTGTCATAACCCATGGTAAAACCCGTCAGTTTATTTTCTTACTGTATCTATACCATTGGAAATGTTCCATTATTTCATGTCCTACTAACAGAAAGCAAAAAATAAATCATTACAAGATATTTCTTCTCTTTGACAGTTCTCACTAAAACAGGTGCCATTGAAAGATTCCCCCTTGTCCCCTATTTTGGTGACAACTGTTACATTTTGTTCATGTGCAGGTCAGTCTGCCAAGTGGATGTGTTAATTTGCAGCATACAAAACTACATTGAATATGGGCACTATTGTCATGGCCTGGAAGAAATGATATTTTTAGGGGTTGCTGAACAGGAGTAAGGAGCTAAAAGAAATACAAGACAAGATACAATCATTGCATCATGGTGCACTTTCACATCAATAAATTGGATGAATAAACCAGTAATATATCAACCAATTTCAACAGAATGATATAGGTTACTGGTATTTACTTTATTGTTTTTGTTTTAGTGCTTAACATATATCAACATGTGCTCCTCCTAGAACAATTGCAAAATAGTGCACATTGTATTTATATATTGCAAAGCTTATATTACCTTTCATTCGTTTTTTGCTTTCTTAAGCCAAACTTAGTCTTAAACCTGTGATTATGTTTACCTCAAGGCCTCAGTAAGCAACTCCACAAAATACATTGTCATTCATTCTAAAAGTGAAGTACACATACATGTACTATACCATGAGGCTGTATTTGTGCTATTATCCTGTGGTTCTGGATGCACAGTTAGCCCAGTGATATAAAGAAATGATTTGTGTGGCTCTGTGCGCTGTACTTTGTTTTCATTTGTGATGGAAGTTCAAATACATTCTGTTTGAAAAACACTCTACTGTGCATGACAGTGCTTTAAAGTAGGGTCTTTAATTCCTTTAAGTCCACCTCACAATAGTTTTTTAGCTTTATAATTTTTGCTTATGCATATACATTGTTTTCTAGCTGCAACTATCAACATGCATTAGGCTTCTGATTAACATGGTACAAATATAAATTTGAGTAAAAAAAGTAAAGCTCATAATGCAGTTATAAATAAACAGGGGTTTCCCCTTATAAGCCTTGTAACTTATCCCACTTTTACATGTTTCTTGAGTATTAGTTAAGACTGGTCATATACGAGAATATACATTTTCAGCCTTCAGTTTCACTAATTAAATATACATATCCGTCTCCTTATTCCACTTAAATTGTATGGAAATGCATTGTTTTTTATTCAGTTTTTGATATAGTGGGAAAGGTTAGACCCTTTATAGGTAACAAAACAAAAACATTTCCAGCACACTTTTATTACTCTCACACTTTATTACTTGATATTGCACTCCATGTGTAGATTTAATCCCCTGTTTGTCCAGGTGGACATTG